AGCACAACAGAAAGCCACATTTCTATTAGACTGGTTCCCAAAAGCAACAGAATGAATCTTGATTTACACTGAATATGTGAAAAAAATGATTCAACACAGTAAGAAAGAATGGTAGTTCTCTTGGAAAGTGAAACCCCACACCTACATCATTATTTTTTTTCACCTTTGTCTGAAACCGCAGAGAGCCACACTGTGGAAACCACCAAAATGGATGCATCCCTTTTTTAATCCAAGGGTTCGTGTTTAGTTGGCAGGATCCAATCAATTCACAACAATAAGCTCTTCTCAAAGCCTGCAAATGTTACCTTGTGGGACTACAACTTCCAGAATCCTTGAGTCAACAATGGCATAAAAAAATAACTTTCCAAATCATATATTTCAAACATATATTCTAAATCTACAGAAATTCCTCCTACCAAAACCACCACTAATAGATTGAAGAAGCTTCCCAATTATGTTGCTCCTGTAAAACTTAACTCTGCCTCCCAAAGAGTACTTATTGAGTTGCTTGAAAGCAGCAAGATGTAGCTTTTAAGTAAACATATATAGGACTATACTGCTAGTCCTATTCCACCCACACAACACTCCACATAGTAAGTAGATGGAGCAACAAAAATAGACAACATATATATGCAGTAAATCTGCTTCTGGCACAGGAGACATTAGAGTGAATTGCAACTGACCACAAGCCATAAGACATAAAGAATTGGCTCTAGCCTGCAGCTGGTGTGCGGGAAACTTAGCTGGCTACATTTGAAAGTTCAAACATATTCCACAAGATCAACCATTGCATAGGTAAAGGTAAAGGTTCCCCTTGACAATTTTTGTCCAGTCGTGTTCAACTCTAGGGGACGGTGCTCATCTCCGTTTCCAAGCCATAGAGCCAGCGTTTTATCTGAAGACAATCTTCTGTGGTCACTTAGACACGGAACACGGTGGTCCCTATTTATCTACTTGCATTGGCATGCTATTGAAGGTGGTCCCTGTTTATCTACTTGCATTTGCATGCTTTCGAACCGCTAGGTTGGAGGGAGCTGGGACAAGCGACGGGAGCTCACTCCGTCACGTGGATTCAATCTTACAACTGCTGGTCTTCTGACCCTGCAGCACAGGCTTCTGCAGTTTAGCCCACAGCGCCACCACGTCCCTTCATTGCATAGCATGGATCAAAACAACACCAGAATATGCATGTGGTTATAGCTGGTTATATCTATATATCTATAGCCAACTGGTAAAATAGAATATATAAACATTTTAGAAAACTGCTGGGAAGCTGTTCAGATTACACTAGACTGCAGCTTCCAGCAGGCCAAGCCAATATGGCCAATAGGCAGGGATTATGGCAGCTGTAGTTCAACAGTATCTGGAGATACAGGTTCGATACCTCCACTTTAGATCATGGACCCTAAATATACTGAGGAGTGTTCTCTGACAGTCTGTCCAAGGGAGGGGGCACAAACATTAAGCTCGGCAACAGAATTATCCACATCATAATTACATTCTTTTCGTTTGCAATTTGCTTTATGATTCAATAAATTTTTTTGGCCAAAAATTAGAACTAAAGTTGAGGAACATGTGGCCATCTAGAGTACTTGTTGAACTCCAATCTCCATCAGCTTGAACCAACACAGCCAATGGTGAGGGGAATCATGAGCGCTGCAGAGTAACAACATCCAGAGACCTAACAGATCTTCAGCCCTGGATGAAAGTGACCCTTGCAATTCAAAGTCAGACATTCAACTCATGTGAAGAGTTTTAACACGGCAAGGGAGATCAGATGTTGGGAAACTTCATTTCCCCATTGCTACCATTCCCCCCCCCCCCAAAAAAAGACAGGGTCTTTAATTTTTGCTCCAAAAAACACATTAGGGCTTATTTTCAGAGGATGTTTTATTTTTATCATGTACAACAATCTACATTTATTCAAATACAGTCATGTCATCTTCTGGTCGAAGCACAATGGTGGAGGGTGAAGTTTCATTTAACTGGGGCTTATTTTGGGGCTAGGGCTTATATTACGAGCATTGTAAAAAAAATCATACTAGGGCTTATTTTCAGGTTAGGTCTTATTTTCGGGGAAACAGGGTACTGCCTGGAAAGGAACCACACACAAGCATCAGATGTTTCTTTCAATGTATGGTAAACACTTTGCAAGCATTCTTTTCTAAACAAACTCAAACTATTATGCTGCAATATGCTGCCATGCAGCTAGAAATGACTCAGTCACATCAAGGGGCTAAAGAACTTAACTGGCTGCTCAGTGGTTTGGGTATCTGGCTACAAAGCCAGAGGTTGGGAGTTGCTTCCCCACTGTGCATCCTATGAGAAAAGTCAGCCTGTGCGGCCTTGGTCAAGCTAACAATCTCGGGGAGGCCCCAGGGAATGATAAACCACTTCTGTGTATCCTCTACCTGGAAAACCCTGAAAAGGGTTGCCATAAGTCAGAATTGATTTGATGGCGGCAGCTGCGGCAGCTGCTGCTGCTGCTGCTGCTATTATTATTATTGTTGTTGTTGTTGTTGTTTTGTTGTTGTTGTTATTGTTATTATTATATGTTGTCTGAACTGACTGCCTGTCTGTCTTGCTCAGCCTCTTAAATATTTCTTAGTCTCCTCACTGACCCTTTGTAACTCCTTGCTGGGTCCAATGCTGACACAGCACTTAACTGCATGTTACCAGTCCTGCACAAAGATATCGCTGCTTTTGAGCACTGCATCGATCATCCTATGCTCAGTATATGAACCCAGATGGAAAACCTAGACGTTGGTGGGCAGATGGTGTCTCCTGAATAGCTCTTGATCGCAGCAAAAACTGGAGGGCTGTTCTCTCTCATCTCTATTTGTGAACACACACAACATGAGCTGAAGGATTCTGTGGGTCTACTATGAAATCTATCCATTCCCCACCCCTCAAATGTGCCAAAGCTTCAGCAGACTCAAATATTACATTTTAAAAGTATCCAGAAACATCACTGATGTCTACCATACCTTCAGACTGGACTTTCACTTTACTGTACTGTACTGTGTGTGCCGGTTTTACTAAAGACTGCTCATAGGTCTTGCAAAAAAGAAGAGGTGATACCAGACTGGAAATGCAGGTTTATAATGGTATCTGCGCACTATGAGCAAAGTGCTGTGTTTGGGACACAAGGCGTCCTTACAGTAGCAGACTAGAAAAAGCTGGATGCAGTGTCAATTTAGGATGCAGCCCTAGCCTACACTAATAGCAATATGGAACCCAGTATTATCTTGGACCATTCCTTGTTCCCTGTGTAACTGGCCAACTTTATCTAACTCTAGGTGCAAGTCTTAGATCAATAAATACCCTTGACTCTGGCCTGAGTCAACCAGCAACCTCTAGTGTCCAGAATTAACAACTATCTAAGCACTTGGTAGACATGTTCTCTTCTATGTAAGAATTAGAATACAGGTACATGCATGCAAGCAAGCATACATACATGATGACACAAAGAGTTGCTTTCAGGGTGAAGGGTTATCTTACCAAAAGCACATTTCAATCCTCTAGTTAGGATTCTGCAGCACTGCAAAGCATGTTTTGACATAACCACATTAAGCAGAATTTGAATATGCTGCCATTTAATTAATTTACTATTTAATTTTCTTTTTATTCTCTCCATCTTGAATTATTATCTATGTGCTATTAACTGGTATTTTATTTCTATTGTTTTACTTTGTGTTCTGTGAGCCGCCCAGAGTAGACTATGTCTAGATGGGCGGTATACACGTTCAATAAATAAATAAATAAATAAATAAATAAATAAATAAATAAATAAATAAATAAATAAATAAATAAATAAATAAATAAATATTCCCCAAAAGTTGCCATGCTAATATGAGCAGAAATATTTCAGCTAAGAGGAAGCTCTCAGCAAAGCATAGAGCTCGCTTAAGAGATCCCCTCTATTTTGCCAGAGTACAACTTCATCAAACCTCTATCAAAAGTACAAAATTTCACTTTTCAACCACGCAGGCCAGCAGAACTTCATAAAGCAGCATGACGGGTATGTGCATGTTAAGGCTCTTTAGTAGAGGGCAACATATTCTGAAAAAAAAAACTGGGGTGAAAGATGGGCAAGCCTGAGGCCACACTGACAGCAAGACAGGAGCCAAAAGAGAAAAGCAGTGCCAGCGCAGCCCCTAGTGCTGGACATCTCCAGAAACCTACTCCCACAAATCGCTCCACCACTGCTTTCTTGCCACCTCTATTCTGAAGCTTTGAGAAGTATTCTGTCTCTCCTGGTTGAGGCCACCTACCTACCTGACCTACACAATGGTCACCTCATTCAGGTCACTGACCAAATACAGTATATATCTCAATCAAATATACACCTCAATGGAAACCTTCCGACCTTTCTGGCTTTGGCTTCCTGTTCCTCCAAAACAGAGCAAATACATACCCAGAAGTCTAGCCTCTGCTACCAATCACCTCCCTGATATGGCCTGCTTTCCTCTCTTCTCCCCACAACACCTTTTCCTGAGGATCAGCTTGCAACTGTCTTCCAAGGAGAAGAGAAAACCAGCCAATTTCGCTACTGGCGGGTGTGTGTGTGAAAAGTCAGGGAACAGAGAAGAAACAGCAACTTCCCAGCCAGATTACCCCACCTCCACCCCCAGATATGATGCCCATCCAAACCAGAGAATCAGCTAGTATTCAATAGAGCCCATTTTGCCTTTCCGTCTAGTACAGCTACCTACAACAGACTCCCCATTGGATTTGGGATCGAAGACCCGCTCCCTTTCCAATCCCTATCATTGCACCACCCCAAAGCCCCGTGGCCAGGAAGAAGCCATGGAAAGCCGCCGCCGCCACCACCATCTCTCCTTTCACCTCCACCACCACCACCACCTAATCCTCTTCTTCGCCGTCGCCGTCCTCCTCCTCCTCCACCACCACCACCTCTATCGGCCCTTCTAAGCAACCCGGGACACCCGGGTCTACTCAGACTTGATCCGAGTGCCATCAGCGTCCAGCAGACTTACCTGGGGAGAACTACCGGAGTCTCTCTGCTGCCAGGGAGTGTGGCGGGCGGGCGGAAGGGGGAGGAGGAGGAAGAGGAGGAGGAGGAGGGAGAAGGCAGAACAAGAACTCAGAACATCCCTGCCGGCAGGCGCTTCACGCGAACCCAGCCATGGAGGGGCTGGGAGGAGAGAGAAAAGTTCAAAATGAAAATAATACAAGGCAGGGGCTGGGCTACAATTGGACCAGGCAGGAACGGGTCGCGGGGGTGGATGGGGGTGGGGGCTGCCGAGTGGCCTAGCCGCGCTGAATGGCAGCCGGAGGAAACAGGGACGGCTTCGGAGAAAAAGGAGGAAGCCCGTCCTTTGTTTGCCAGGTTTTCCCTGAACAATGGCTGCTGCTCCTGCTGCTGTCTCAGGCCCTCTGTTGGGGTATGGAGGAGGCTCCGCTATGGCACACACGCTCGCTCTCGCGTATACGCACGCACACACACGCGCGCACACACACACACACCCTCTCCCTGAGCCTTTCAGAAAGAGGCCTAGAAGCTACCCAACGAGGAGGCCCTTCCTCCCGCTCCTCTTCTCTCTCTCCCGCTCCCTCCCTCTCCACACACCCGCCTCTCTCTCTCTCTCTCTCTCTCTCTCTCTCTCTCTCNAGGGATCTGCCATGCCTAGGCTGGGAAAAACAAAAGGGAGAGACAGACTCAGACAGAAAGAGGTAAATCCCAGAGAGAGAAGAAGGGAGGGAGGCGAAAGGGTGCGAGGCGGCCGGGAGAGGAGGAAGAAGGTGGTGGTGCTGCGCTGGGGGAGAGGGGATGCCATCGCGGGCGTGGGGATGGGGGGGGAGAAGAAGAAGAAGTCTCCCACCCTAAACAAGGCCGGGTGTTCGAGGAAGAAAGAGACCTGGCAGGAAAGTGCCAGCCAGGGAGCGGCTCTGGGGCTGCTCCAGCGATCCATTTCCTCAACCTACGCTGGACGGTTTCCACAGGAGAGGGTTTTATTCGGCTCCGCCATCTGCGTGGATTTCGGAGTCCATCTCGTTTAAATTCGCTTAAACGGGCGGGGAGGGGTCGTGCGTTTGAAACAGATCGAAGCGCGCATTTCTCCTATGAAGTTTCTTGCGGAAAGGCTGCCGCCGTTAAGAACACGTCCTGGCAAGGAAACCCTGTTGAATTTAGGAGGACTTGCTTCCCGCTAAACACGCACAGAACCCGGCTGGAACTGCTGTTTCGTTACCTTCTAATCACAACAACAGAAAATAAATACGAACAGAAGCATTAAATGGGCGGGAGATCTGGCAAATCGCTGTTTAACCAGACGAGCTCCTGCTTGGTTACAGAATTTCAAGTGGAGGTGACCCAAAAGCACCCTTCTGCCATGACGAACAGATTGTGCACGGGTGTCAAGGTGTTGAGGCACATTAGGCCCATGGCACGGATCAACATCAACTACAAGTCAGCGGACCTGGCATCTTTTGTGAGATGGCAGGTCCTTTTCTAAATGTAGAAAATTACAATTATAGTCTTGCCTTTCTTTGCCGAAGAGGCTGGATTTGTGTCATATTATTGTGGGTTAAAACAACAGAATCAAGTGAGTCCCAAGGCCCACAACCTTGGGAGACCGTGGTGAATGCATGTAGCTCCTGAATCTTCTCAGATGTAGCACAGCTGTCAATAGGACAGAGCCACTGTCAAGAAAAAGGATGCAATCCTAGCCTAGGGCTCCTTTTGAATATACCATGTGGTAATAATCACATATGCCTTCAAGCATATGGCAACTACCTCCTTCATTTTAACCCCTGCTGAATTACCATAAATACTCTGGTTTCTATTGCAGTGTGTGATTTATGTGTATGCTCCAGCCTTCCTCCTGGTGTTTCATCTTATAAAATGGATTAATCTATAGAGGGCTTTCCTCCCCTGGAAATACTTATGTAGTATTGGTTTAAAACCACACTGTCCCCTCCATACAAGGCCAGACCTGTCTTGAGATACAGGAAACTTGCAGGTACAATTCCCAACAGACTAAATATCAGATGTTATTATAACATGAGACCTACAGTGAAAACAGGGAGGCATACAAGGTAGTGCTTTCTGGAAATGGACTAAGTTCTCAGTGTCTATTCTATTGATATTCCATATTCTGAAGAACCACATTATTCCAAAATAATGAGACCTGTGACAGCTGAAGCAAATGAAAATTGATTGGTGCAGCTGATTTTTCTCTCTCTCTCTTTCAAATTATTATTGTATTTTTGTGCAGCTACGCAAATCCCCTTCTCAGACACAGAGTTGTGGGTTCTGTTTTTAATTTTCCAGCAAAACCTAGCACCTTTAACAAACATACCATAAGGGGCAGGGATCAATAAGATAGGGAACATAAAATGAGACACTTCTTTTAGAGAGGATAAAAAATAAAGGAGGGAATGTGCAAGATCACACACACACATGTACATTCATAACTATTCCAGAACATTGAGAGCTTTTTAAAAGAAAAATAATTGTCAGTTTTAACTGTTAAAACTTTCAAAATAGAGACAACAGTGCGTTAACCACTGTAGCGAGGCTAAATCTACTAGAAGCCTGAAGTGGAATTGTTTTTTTCAACTAGCATTTAAAATGCTAGATATTCATCTGAGCAGGTATGGAGAAGAAGCAGCTTGAAGATGGTACTAGTCATGCTCTAAGGAACTGCATTTGCAAGTGCATTTGTAAACCTTTAGGCTGCACATCTGTTTTCTTTTTCACAAAAGGAGTTGAGACTTGCATTATGTGCTGAAATACCATGTTTCACACAAAGTTGAGCCAAAGTGCTATGTGTGAGAATGCCACTGGGACAAGCCATAGCTCTGCTTTAGGAAACAGCATAGCAACAGGAATGCTTCTAATTATCAGGATTTAAGCTACAGAATACAAGCCACAAACTTCCCAAGATCCTTTTGTTTCCAGTGAGCAACTACACAAATCTGGTTTTGGGATACAGAAGACAGAATCACATCTAGCACAGGATCCCATCCCCAGCAGACGTCAGCTCCAAATCTACTGACTACAAGTCTAGAAAACAAATACAAACACAGAATTCCAGTTTGTGGTCATGTATCTTTCAAGTTGTAGCATTCACAGTTTATAACATCCTCAACAAGATCGTCTTGCTTGATGACTACTGCGAATATTATTTCTGAAGGGAAATAGTCTATATATGAGTAGAAATCAGTTACAGTACTCTTATTTCCTGTCACCATGATCTTATGGCAGCATGTTTAAAAGATCAACAATACATATGCTATGAAAATCAATTTTAAAAAATATATTTTCCCCCCTTTTTTTGTATTAATTTCACTTAGTGACCCTCTAGTACCGGTATGATGGCAAGTACCCAAATGTGAATGAATAGCTGCTTAGACATCTGCAGAGAGACATTCTTTATAGCCAGGTGTTGGCCTGGGTAAAATCAATAGATGGTATAATCATGGATATACTAACAACCTTGAAAACTAGAGTGTTTCCCCAAAAATAAGACAGGATATCATATTAATTTTCACTCCAAAAAACCACAATAGGGCTTATTTTCAGGGGATGTTTTATTTTTTTCATGTACAACAATCTAAGTTTATTCAAATACAGTCATGTCATCTTCTGGTTGCTGCACAGTGGTGGAGGGCGGGCTTTCACTTAACTGGGGCTTGTTTGGGGGGCAGGGCTTAAACTGCAGAAGGGATGTGGTGGTGCTGCGAGTTAAACTGCAGAAGCCTCTGTGCTGCAAGGTCAGAAGACCTGCAGTTGTAAGATCGAATCTACGCAGCGAAGTGAAACCCGTCGCTTGTTCCAGCTCCCACAAACCTAGTGGTTTGAAAGCATGCAAAATGCGAGTAGATAAATAGTTACCACCATGGTGGGAAGGTAACAGCGTTCCATGTCTAGTTGCACTGGCCACGTGACCACAGAAGATTGTTTTCGGACAAACACTAGTTCTGTGGGTTGGAAACGGAGATGAGCACCTCCCCTTAGAGTCGGACACGACTGGACAAATTGTCAAGGAGAACCTTTAACCTTTACCTTATATTACAAGCATTCTGAAAATTCATGCTAGGGCTTATTTTCAGGTTAGGTATTTTGGGGGGAACAGGGTACACCTGCTACTAAGTTTTCAAGTCTACATTCAGCCTCGCCAGTGAACCACATCACTTTTCCCATAATAAATGGCAGTATTAGATTTTCTTCCCTTGGCTGCTTCAGTATCATAGCCCATGCCGTGGAAGGCAGCACAGTCCTGATTCTGATTTGAAAAGACTACAGTTATCTTAACCAACTTCAATTTGCAGGGAATATTTCTATGAAGTGGATGGGTAACAGTGTTACACCCACTTGGAGAAGCAGAGAAGCAGCGGATTTGTCATTTGGTGTGCCCAGATGCTAAGGCTGTCATGATGACGTCTGGGGAAGTGCTTGTGCCATTATGTTCATTACTGCAGCAAAGGTTTATGAGTCATTCTCAGAACACAGGGCAACAGACCAGAGAGCAGAAGGTTGAATGGTCAGACATCCTAAAGAGCTGGCTGTGAAAGTTTTGCAGATAAAAAGCAAAAACCAACAAAAGAGAACAAAACAAAGCTGGGGGCGGGAGAAAATGCAAGAGAACACAAACCAAAGAATTAGCTGGCATTAACCCACAATATCCTAATGATTCATAGTGATACAAATTACTTCAGTGTGGAAGAGATGCACGACCTAGAGAAAAGTAGTATTGTATCTCAAAAAGCAGGTGTTTATGACTGTTTCTTAATCCAGCCACCATAAAAGTTCAGTGCTTCCATATAAAAGGGAGATTCAGCTGCTTGACATAGCAGATATCTGGTGATATCGGGAAGATGTTGTTGTTACATGCCGTCAAGTTGAAAGTGACTTATAGAAATCCTGACAGGGCCTTCAAGGTAAGTGAGGTACTGTATTTAAGGTGTGGTTTTACCAGTTTCCAGGGATTCAAACCCAGGCCTTCTGAGTGCTACTCTGTCACTCTATCTACAACACCACACAGGATATTGGTGTAGGTGTGTGTGTGTGGAATGGAAGTTTGCCAACTCCCAGTTTATCATTATTTCTGTGCTGTACATCCTTCCCTATCATCTCTGCATAGGCAACCTGGTGTGCCCTCAAATGCTTTGAACTACAACTCCCATAAGCTGTGATACAAGTCATGCTGGCCGGAGCTTATGGGAGTTGTTATAGCTCAAAACACCAGTTTGTCTATCCTCGGCCAACTATACTTGGCCAGTATTACAATGGACTTGGGGAGATGGAACAAATTCTCCAGTACAGCACAAGGCTAGAAGATTTTACACAAGCAGAATCATTCATATTGAATTAAATGCTGTAGTTGATGCATGTCCTAGCAATATAACTTTGCCCCCCCCCCCGGTTTGTCCTTTGACAACAAATACTTCCAGTTTGTGTTGTCTGAGGATGTGGGCAGGATCTTTAGAGATGATAGCCATGTGTGCTAGA